CTACCCTGCCAATCCCAGGACTGCATATGATATTGCCATAGCAATTAAAGAAGAACCATAGTGCTATAATTGTGCAGCATGAAAGGGCCCAGTCTTAGGGAAGGGAGCTTCATTGTATAGAATATCAGCACTTCAGGCATAGGACTAGAAGAGATCTTAGGAAAATGCTGGTCCAACTCTTTGTTGGACACCTTGCCAACCTAAAGACATTTCTCTAGTCTGCATGGCCTTTGGCTGATCCTTTTTAAAAAAAACATGCTGAAACACCCAAAGTTCAAAATGGCTTATGGTGAGAACCTTTTGCAAGCCACAATATCTCAGCCTTTGTTGTTGTTATGTGCCTTCAAGTCATTTCCAACTTATGGCCACCCTAAGGAGAATCTATCATGGGTTTTCTTGGTAAGATTTGTTTAGAGAGGGTATGCCATTGCCCTCCTCTAGACCAAAAGTCATACGAGTCTTCCTGTAAAGACTATTGAGATTGTATATGTGAAATTTTTAAGAAAAGCATTGCATAATGATTACAGCACTTTTCATTTCTAAAATGAGGTGCTTTTGACTACAAGAGACTTCTTAGAAGAAAATCAGACTCTGCCAGGACATTGTTTGAAAGCACAGAATGCAGCCTGGGTCTAGTATCTAGATGGGAGCTTGCTTAGGAAACTGGTGTGTACAACAATTGACTTCCACGGTGGAAAAAAGAGAGGATTTAATTGTGATCTGCTATTGTTGTTCTACATTATAGGGGTGCACTTACGCTATAGTAATAATGCAGTTTGACACCACTTTAACTGCCATGGCTCCATCCTACAGGATCCTGCACTTTTGTGAGGCACCAGCACTCTTTGTTAGAGACAGCTAAAGATCATCTAAAACTGCAAATTCCAGGATTCCACAGGTTGGAGTTTTGCTATCATTGTTGTTGTGTGCCATCAAATCATCTCTGATTAACGGAGAACCTATCATGGGGTTTTCTTGGCAAGATTTGTTCAGAGAAGGTTTGCCATTGCCTTCCCCCTAAGCTGAGAGCATGTGCCTTGTCCAAGACCACCGAGTGGGTTTTATGACAGAGCTGGGAATCGAACCTAGTCTCCAGAATCATAGTCCAACACTCAAACCACTGTGCTACACTTGCTCTCCCAAGGCAGGATACAGCATCTTAAAACTGTTGCTGTTGTGTGTCTTCAAGTCGTTTTCAACTTACAGAAATCTTATCATGAGGTTTTCTTGGTAAAACCTGTCCAGAGGTGGTTTGCCATTGCCTTCCCCTGAGGATGAGAAAGTGTAGCTTCCCCAAGGTTACCCAGTGAGTTTTATGGTGGAGCTGGGAAATGAACCCTAGTCTCTAGAGCAGTGGTCGGCAACCTATGGCCCCCGGGCCAGGCCGCCAAAGCCTTGGGGTCGGCCCGTGGCCAGTCCTGCTGCCAGCGCACGCATGCTGCCACTGCCTCACCACACACGCCATTTTGGCGTCCAAAATGGCGCCCGCGCTCACGCACGCATGCGCACAACAGCAGGTGCCATTTTGGAAGGCCCAATGGTGCTGGCGTCGTGCACATTCGCACGGCACCAGCGCTGTTGGGCCTTCCAAAATGGCGTCCAGCGTCATGCACATGCGCGCACAATGCAGAGCGGCATTTCGGAACACCCAACAGCGACAGTGCCGTGCAAATGTGCACAGCGCCATTGGGTGTTCCAAAATGGCGCCCCCACGCGCACCCGCATGCAACCCCCAGCGCCATTACCTCCCCCCAGCACGTGGCAAAAAAAAGTTGCTGACCCCTGCTCTAGAGTTATAGTCCAACACTCAAACCGCTACACTACCCTGGGAAATGGTGATAAACTGCATTATTTCTACAGTGTAGATGCAGCCTCAGTCAGCCTGCAACTCTTTGGCTCTAACCCCAGGATACGCTGCAGGCTGGTTGTGGCTATTTCTTTATGCAGGAACAGCCCACTCCGCACATGGTCAGAGACACTCTTCCTCAGGCCTGAGCTCTAGTAATGAAAGCACACACAACAACACAATTCAACTCCATTTTCTTTTTTTCTTTTGAACGAAAAAGATGTGGAGGGGGAATCAGGCAGAAATGAAAACTGCCAGAACATCCTCAGGAGCCTCACCACCTCCCAAAGAGGGCAATTCCTCCAGCTCTTCCACACTGCAAAAATAAAGCAGTCTGACACCACTTTAACTGTCATGGCTCCTTCCTGTGGAATCCTGGGATTGGTAGTTTGGGGAGGTATTCAGCCTGGTCTGTCTCTGCAGCTCTGGTGCCTTACCATACTACAAATCCCAGGAGTCTGTAGGATGAAGTCATAGCAGTTAAAGCGGTATCAAGCTGCTTTATTTCTGAAGTATTTATTTCTTTATTTCTAAGTGAAGTATGATTGCCTAAAAGAGGACCCCAGCCAAAATGGGAAAGTGCTCCTGTAGTATAAAGATGGAAGAGCCCCATTCTGTTTTCTGTTCTGAGGTCCAAAACACACTGCAGAAATAATCCAGTTTGAGACCGCTTTAACTGCCCTGGCTCAATGCTAGGGAGTTCTAGGAACTGTAGTTTTGTCAGACATTTAGCCTTCTCTATCAGGGACCTCAGGTGCCACAATAAATTACAGTTCCCAGGATTCCCTAGCACTAAGCCAAGGCAGTTAAAGCGGTCTCAAACTGGATTAATAATAATAATAATAATAATAATAATAATAATAATATTTACTGCTATCCCGCTCCTCTGCAACGCAGTGTTTTGGACTATAGTTTCCTGTGTCACAGGACAGGGGAGCAAAAAATGTTGTAGCTCCATCCTAGGGAATCTTGGGATTTGTAGTTTTATAAAGTCTTGAGCCTTCGCTGCCAAAGAGGGCTGGTGCCTCACTAAACTACAAATCCCTATAAGATGGAGTCATGGCAGTTTAGAGCGGTATCAAAGTGCTCTGTTTCTGCAATGTGGACACACCCATTGTCCTCCATTTTAGGGGATCCTCACCACCAGGCTGAAGCCCCAGTCTTTGGACCTCCTTTTCCCTCAGCCAGGCTCTCTCTTTGCCCTCTGGGTGTGGGAGGACTGGGAGGACTGGGAGCCCAGGAAGGAAGGAAGGCTGGCTACCTGGAGGCAACATTCCCGGCCCTGGAGCGCCTTCACCGTCAGCAGCATTTCGGGATCCCGCAGCTTGGAAAGCCAAGCGGCCCCTTTAAGTGAACCATAGACACTCGGAGGCGGCAGAAAGAGCGGCCCGGTCACCGGTTCCTGGGGGGGGGGGTTATATAGGCGAAGAGAAGGTCCAGCGCGCTGCCATTTTCTTATCAGAGCCGCACGTTCCTTTAGCATAGAGAAAAGGGGCTAGAGGGGCGGACCGGAAAGCGGAAAACGGCCTTTGACTGGTCGCGGTCATGTGATCGAGAGTCATTACCATAGAGTGAAGGCGGTGAAGGCTAGAGCGTCCGTTAGGAAAATGTTCCGTTTCCGTTGTGACGTGAAAGCACAATCTGTGGCGGAAGAGACGTGCATTTAAAAAAACAATACATACACACCATTATCATTATTATTATTATTGTCTGCGGTCCCAGTAATGTTCGACTAGACCAGGGGTAGTCAACCTTTCCCCATTAAGGGCCAGGGACTTCATCTCCCAGAATCCCAGGAGCTATTGGCCAACATGGGACTATTGGCCAACATGGCTGAGGCTTCTGGGAGCTGAAGTCCCTCGGCCCTTAAAGGGGAAAGGTTGCCTACCCCTGGACTAGACCAGGGCTTCCAATTCTATACTGCAGCAGAGCTGGGAATCGATGTGAACATTCAAAACTAGCACGATTGAGTCCTGTTTTGGGGGTGACGCTTGGGCAAGTCACACTCTCTCAGCCTCGGGATGACAATGGCAAACCCCTTCTGAAGAAACTTGCCAATAAAACTCCATGATAGGCTCACTTTAGGGTCGCCATAAGTCGGAAAAGACTTGAAGGTACACAGCAACAGCAACAACGACAACAACGCAGGGTAGATTTGTTAGGTTTGTGTGCCTTCAAGTCATTTCCGACTTATGGTGACCCTATCATGGGGTTTTCTTTTCTTTTTTTAATAATTTTATTTATAAAAACATTAAACATAAATATATAAAATTACAAAGCTGATTCTATTTCATAATGTCATCTTAAATCAGCATTCATAATTGACCTTCCATAAGTTTGTTGGCATTAAATACTGATCTACCAGTGCTTTATTACTTAGTTTTTCTCTAAAGCTAATAAATAATCGTCTCTCTTGTGCATAAAATAAAGAGGGGAAAAAAGAAGCAAGTAATCTTACTTAATCTTACTTTCAATTGTAAATAATATAATTCATTATTTCAAAATCATATCAGATTTGCTTTCTTAACATCTTTTTTTTACATATTCTTCCATAAGTGACCAATCTTTGTTGATTTTCTCCATATCTTTTTGATTTAATAAGGCCATTAATTTGTCCATTTCTTTCCTCTCTGTTAGTTTTATCAACCATTCATCCACAGTCGGTAATTCTTGATTTTTCCATTTTTTAGCTATGAGTAACCTTACTGCAGTTATCATATATAGGAGCATCCTCCAATATTTCCTTTCAAGTGTTGGATCTAATTTGTTTGTCATATTCAATAAGTAAATTTCTGGTCTCATTTTGAATTTAATTTGTAAAATTTCCTGTATTGTGTCATGAACCTTTTTCCGTTTTGTTTTGTTTTGTTTTGTTTTGTTGTTTGTTTTTTTACATTTCCTATCACGGGGTTTTCTTGGCAGGTTTCTTCAGAGGAGGTTTGCTATTGCCATCCCCTGAGGCTGAGAGAATGTGACTTGCCCAAGGTCACTCAGGGGGGTTGTAGACTGCCAGAAATAGGGCAAATTGAGTCCATTTTTAGGGTTAGGGTTAGTGCTAGGGAATCATGGGAATTGTGTTTTTTTTCTGAGACATTGAGCCTTCTCTGTCAGAGAGCTCTGGGGCCACAATAAAATACACTTCCCATGATTTCCTAACCTCCCTCTGAAGAAACTTGCCAAGAAAATCCCATTATAGGTTTGCCTTGAGATTGCCGTAAGTTGTAAATGATCTGAAGGCACACAACAAGAACAAACAAAAGTCCCCAAAAAGCCATTTTCTCAAGCTCATTTTTTTTTTAAAATCTGTCTCTGGTAATATAACACATGGTTAGCAGAAAACCCCATTATTTTTGTGATTAAAAAGGTTATTTTACTCTGTTATGTTACTCATGTTAACCCTGTGGATGAGACATCTCCAAACCCCTCTATCCTCAACCACTCTGTTTAGGCCCTGTAGGCTCAGGCCCATGGCCTTTCTGAAATCTAACTATGTGGCATACATGGCATACATTCAAAGATATAACCGTGTTAGTCTGTAGGATCAGTATGTAGAGAGATCTTGTAGCACCTTTGAGACTAACTGAAATGAAGTTGGCAGCATGAGTTTTGTAGACTAAAGTCTACTTCCTCAGATGCATCTGTCCCTGGCTTCCACTCCACCATAAGTATCTGAAGAAGTAGACTAAAGTCTACGAAAGCTAATGCTACACACTTTTTTCCCCAGTTAGGAGTTTATCACACGGGGAGCCCAGTGTAAAATCGCTCTTTAAAGTGAAAAAAAGCCGCAAAAGCGGAAGCTTTTAATGAACGGGATTTCTCCCGTTTGCCCTGTGTGAAATGTGAAAGCGCTGTTAAAAGGAGGTTAATCTGAACGAAAACCCCTCGTTTTTACTTTCGGGTTTTTCCGAAAGTAAAAAGAAGCGTAAATGAGGGGTTTTCGTTCGGATTAACCTCCTTTTAACATCAATTTAACAGCGGCGGCGTGTGAAATCATGACCGCTTTTGCAGTTTATTTCTAATTTAAAGCCCCATTTTTGCACGGAATTTCCCCCGTGTGATAAACTAGTCTCAAAGGTGCTACAAAATCTCTATATATATTAATTCTACAGACTAACATGGCTATATCTTTAAATTCTACCACTATGGAAAACACCAAATTTAGCTGAATGAGGTGGAAAATCTATCAACCTCTTCAAGAAACTTGCCCAGATACAGACAGATATCTTCTTTCTCAACAAGTGCTAGCAATAGGATATTGTTCCTAGGGACTACGTATCACATAGAGCTCA